TTGATGGGATGGGGCTCGAAGTGACTGCAAGCAAGTCTCCTCTCAGCTCTGGTGAAGAACTACTCAGGATAACCCAAGTAAATTCTCGAGCAACAGTGTTCAGAGTTGCTCAGCTGAAGAGCAGGAACGACGACGTCTTCTCTCCACGGTGGCTGGGCTGCAACTCTCGAATTTCGAATTTGTCATTTGTCGATGCACACCGCTGTACAATATTTGACAATACTCGCGGCGGCAATGTGTCATGCAGGCAGCATCAGTTTGAGTAACCCTGCTCTATCAGCAGCATCATACTGTATTAACTGTACTAACTGGACAGTAAATTTCACCATGGCCCCTAAGATGAAGTCTGAATCTTGCACTGGAGATTGTGGCAAGAAAGGCTCTTACTCTCGAACTCTCTATTTTTCACTGTTGCACATAAACCTGTCTGTATCTGTCTGCCTGTATATCTGTCTGTATCTCTGTGTGTCTGTTTATCTGTCTGTCGACTAGTGTGTCTGTCTTTCTGTCTACCTGTGTGTCTTTGTCTACCTGTGTGTCTTTATGTCTACCTGTGTGTCTGTCTTTCTGTCTACCTGTGTGTCTTTCTGTCTACCTGTATCTGTCTTTATGACTACCTGTGTCTGTCTTTATGTCTGCCTGTGTCTGTCTTTATGTCTGCCTGTATCTGTCTTTATGTCTACCTGTGTCTGTCTTTATGTCTATCTGTGTCTGTGTCTACCTGTGTGTCTGTCTGTGTGTCTGTCTTTCTGTCTACCTGTGTGTCTGTCTTTGTCTACTTGTCTGTCTCAGAGCCACTCATTAAGAGTGTACTTGGTCTTGAAGACACCATATTAATAATGATAATAACACTAATAATCACTGAGGTGCATTAAATGTGAATAAAACGTTAATATAGACATTTTGCTTAATCCATCTATGATTTTTTTTCAAAATTATATAATAAACATGCTACATAACATATAAATTAACAAATATGAGATGTTTTTCTGGTCAGCTTGACTGAACAGGAATCATTCGTGTCCGGGCTGGTAACAACAACAACAACAACAACGTTTGTTTACATAACTTGTGAACATTCTACATTCTCATTCTCTCTCATTTATTCATTTAATCTTGTTTACTCACCTCTCACTCTACATTAAAACTACAGATATTTTAAGGTAAGTAATGAGTGGACACGATTATTATATTGCTTAATAATAATAATATTAATATTAGTACATATGTATTATTGTAATAATAATGATTATTAATATTATTATAAATTTAGGGCACTGGAGCACAGATCCACTGTATAGCACTTTGTCTGGATTTTTTGGGTTATCCTAGGTAATTTATAATATGTATGATAACTTGACTTACGTGTACCAGTGAGAGAGAGAGAGAGAGAGAGAGAGAGAGAGAGAGAGAGAGATAGAGAGAGATAGATACAGAGAGAGATACAGATACAGAGAGAGATACAGATACAGAGAGAGATACAGAGAGAGAGATACAAAGAGACAGCCACATTCGGTCAGCCAGTCAGCCATCTACCCAGCCACCCACCCATCCAGCCACCCAGCCACCCAGCCACCCACCCATCCAGCCACCCACCCACCCATCCAGCCACCCACCCACCCACCCATCCAGCCACCCACCCACCCATCCAGCCACCCACCCACCCACCCATCCAGCCACCCACCCATCCAGCCACCCACCCACCCATCCAGCCACCCACCCATCCAGCCACCCACCCATCCAGCCACCCACCCACCCACCCATCCAGCCACCCACCCACCCACCCACCCACCCACCCACCCACCCATCCAGCCACCCACCCACCTACCCATCCAGCCACCCACCCACCTACCCACCTACCCACTCACCCACCCACCCACCCACCCAACCAGCCAGCCAGCCAGCCACCCACCCATCCAGCCAGCCACCCACCCACCCGGCCAACCACAGACCCGGCCACCCAGCCAGCCAGCCGGATACGTATTACACATACTCCAGAGTTGTTTCTCTTTACTTAGGGTATAGGTTACACAACATTCTGGCAGGATGACACTACCAGTGGTATTCTCCCATTCCACTGTGTCGACAATACATAAAGATAATAGTAACATATGATACTGTATGCGATGTAAAATTTACAATACATATCACTACCATGTATACATTATATACAGTACATAAATAATTAAAATACAACAATAGAAGTAAATTATGGTAAAAAGAATGAAATAATGATGGTACATTATATTACAGTATTTTGTAGGTAGTTTATATAGGAAAGTTTTGACATTATGCCCTACCCAATATGTCGGCAATTTTCAAATGTTCGACTTACGTCCATTTTGACTTACGACCGGTTGGTCGGAGCCAAGCTTGGTCGTAAGTCGGATGGTAGGTGTATACAGGGTCTAAAGCCAGCAATGAACAACAAAATACCTTTCATCCGTGGACTGCTTGCAGAGGCAAATGCAATGTTCGTGGCTTTCACAGAAATCCATATTAAGGATCACTTGGACAACGAAATATAGATCCCAGGTTACAACCCATACAGATGCGACAGAGTGAAC